GGTGGACCCCGGCAGGCAGCAGTCCCTCCCCACGTGCGCTTTCGCGCGCCCTCTCCCCCCCCAACCCTCCCTCGGGGCCTGGCTCTTGGACCGAGGAGGCCGCCGCCGCCGTGGCCCTGCTGGGCCGGCCGGCCTGCCCCGGGGGAGGGACTCGGACCGTGCGGGGGCTCTTGGCGGCCTCAGGGCATCCTGCGGCGGCGGGAGCACCGGGCTGGGCTGGGCTGGGCCGGGCGGGGGAGGCTCCGCGCTCCAGGGGCCCCACAAGGGCCCCTCTTCTCTCCTAGTCTCTCACTCCCGGGATCGGAGAGGGGGAAGTGGGGCCAGGCGCGCGCTCAATGCCGGCTCCGCCGAGAGCCTCCCTGGCCGAGACCGAGGCAGCCAGTCCCGCTGTGGCCCTCTGGCGCCTCCCCGCCCTGGATTCAAGCCCATCCTCGCGCCTCCTCTCCTCTGCTGCCCACTGGAGCAGCCCCCTGCCCTCCTCCGCTAAGGGACCCTGCAGCCCTCGGAATCCTTCGAGAGAGCCAGCCTGTCCCCCCCCCCCCCCGGGATCCCTCCAATGGTCACCTCGAGACTTCCCTGCTGTAATGCTCTCTACCCGCTGCCCTGGTCCTAAATCCAGAAGCTGCAGCTGGTGCAAAATGCCACAGCCAGGCTTTTGATGGGGCTCTCTAGGTGGGAGCACAGACAGCCTGCGCTGAAGACAGCGCACTGGCTGCCTATAGCATACCAACTTCACTTCAAGGTGCTGGTTCTTACCTTTAAAGCCCTACAGGGTCAGGGACCTACATACCTGAGGGACCACCATAGAGCACTGCGATGGGAGGTCCAGAATTGGCTGGCCCTCCCGGGTCCTAAGGACGCCAGGCTGTAAGCAACCAGGGCCAGGGCCTTTTCAGTGGCAGCCCCATCCTGGTGGAATGAGCTCCCGGAGGAGATCAGGACCCTGCGGGACCTTTTACAGTTCCGCAGGGCCTGCAAGACGGAGCTCTTCCACCAGACGTTTGGGAGCCACTGCCACCAATGAAGGACATCAGTTGGTTAAAAGGGAGAGGGCCCTGGACTCTGGATATTACCATCAACAGCCTAAAAGAACAGCGACCCCTGCAAGGACATTCAAATAAACACTGAGAGCTGACTGTGAGCAGAGAACTTGTATACTGGCTGCTACCATCATATGAACATTGATAACTACTAGCATTTTACTATGATTTTATAATTATTTTAACTGCATCTATGTTTTAATGTAATTATCTGTTTTTATGTAAGCCACCCTGAGCCACCTTTTTGATTAAGCCCTTCCTGTCTAGGATCAATTCTGATACTGCAGTCGGGTTCCTCCTCTCTGATAAGACACCAGAAGTGACTGTACAGGTTGCTGGATTTTTGTCTAAGATTTTGGTAGCAAGAAACTATTCTTAATATTGGTGTGTTCTTAAGATTTATAGATGTAATTTCAGCTTGACAGAGTTCTTATCTTACTGATTTTATGTGCCAATAATGGTTTTGTATTGTGTGCATCACATTTACCTTATACCCAGAATGAAACTTTGTTGGTCTGAAAGGTGCCACTGGACTCAAACTTTGTTTTGTTGCTTCAGCCCAACACGGCTACCTGCTTGAATCTATATAGTCAGGGCTATTTTTGCGCAGGAACACACAGGAATGGAGTTCCGGCTGGCTCCCGAGTTGGCCACGCCCAGCAGGAACTCATTAGCATAATAGGCCACACCCAACAGCAGAACCCAACAGCCCTGGGTTTTGACAACAGACAAGGTAAACAGAATAAGAAGCGAAAGGTGGGTGTGGCTGGATGACCACACTTCTGGTAACATGGGGGTGTGGCCTAAGATGCTAATGAGCTGTGATGTCAGGGGTGTGGCCTAATATGCTAATGAGTCCCTGCTGGGCTTTTTCTACAAAAAGAGCCCTGTATATAGTGCTTAACTTAGGCTTCAGTGGCAAGCACTGCTTAACACATTAGAGCTTAGAGAGAGAGAGAGTGTAGAGGGCCGTCAAGTCGCAGCCAACTTTTGTCACCCCCAGCCAGGGGCTCCCAAGGCCATGGAGAAGCAGAGGTGGCTGGCCGTGGCCTTCCTCTGCAGAGTTTTCCCCCTGGCAGTCTCCCTTCCAAGTACTAACCAGCCTAGATTCCGAGAGGTGATGAGATCAGCCTTTCCTCCTGCTGGAGCTTATAGAAGAACTTCAGAGGGGAAAAGTAACTCAGCTTCAAGGTACAATCTTATAAGCCTTCACGGGCTTAGAATTAGGAGTTAGTTTATGCAGAAATGTAAGCGGGTGGAGTGCTTCTGGACTGCCCCTTCCCACTGCAGAGGCCGGGTGGGGCAAGTCTCACACTGCGCAGATGTCACTAGATTGATCTGAATTTCACCTGCTCCCTTCTTGGAGACTCTGGTCTCTCCCCTCGAAGCTCTCCCGTTGCTTCCCAGCCCTTCTTTCCTTTCCGTGACGCTCTGCTTTCCTTGGGAGCTGAGGATTGTGCAGATGCTCCCCTTGTGCTTTGCACTCTTCACAACTGTGCCCCGTTGCCATTTCACCTTCTCTCTAGCAAGCTCAACACGGCAAAAACAGAGCATATGACGATGGGAGGGAATTGCAGCCTAGGATCAGCATAGGGGTAGTACATGAATACCTTGTTTCTTTAAATGAAACTAAGTCCTCAGGGCCAGATGAACTGCATCCAAGCATACTAAAAGGACTCGTGGATGTAATTTCTGAGCCTCTGTCCATTATTTTTGAGAATTCTTGGAGAACAAGTGAGGTGCCAGAAGATTGGAGGTGGGCAAATGTTGTCCCCATCTTCCAAGAAGGGGGGAAAGGAGGATCCGGGTAACTACTGACCCATCAGCTTGACGTTTATACCTGGGGAAGTTTTAGAGTAAATCATCAAACAGACAGTCCTTGAGCATTTAGAAAGGACAGCTGTGATTACTAAGAGCCAGCATGGGTGTCTCAAGAAAAAGTCATGTCAGACTAACCTTATCTCTTATTTGGAGAAAGTTACTACCTTGCTGGATCAGGGGAATGCTGTAGACATAGTTTATCTTGATTCCAGTAAGGCTTCTGATAAGGTTCCACGTAATATTCTTGTTGACAAGTTAGTAAAATGTGGTTTGCAACCTATGACTCTTAGGTGGATCAGTAACTGGTTGACAAATCTCACCCAAAGAGTGCTTGTGAATGGTTCCTTACCCACCTGGAGAAGAGTGACAAGTGGAGTGCCTCAAGGATCTGTCCTGGGACCTGATTCGTTCAACGTCTTCATAAATGATTTGGATGAACGAACATAGGGAATGATGATTAAATGTGCACATGATACTAAATTGGGAGGATTAACAAATACAGTAGAAGACAGAGTCAGGATGCAGGATGATCTTGACAGGCTGGAAAACTGGGCTAAAAGAAATTTAATGAATTTCAATGGGGATAAATGTAAAGTTCTGCATTTAGGTAGGAAAAATCAAATGCATAATTATAGGTTGGGGGAGACTTGTCTTGGCAGTAGTCTGTGTGAAAAGGATCCAGGGGTCTTAGTAGACCATACACTGAACATGAGTCAGCAGTGTGATGAGGTAGCTAAAAAGGCAAATGTGATTTTGGGCTGTATCAACAGAAGTATACTGTCCAGATCACGTGAAGTGATGGTACCACTTTATTTATTTATTTATTCATTTATTTATTTTAGGAAATTTGTACCCCACAGGCTCAGGGCAGGTTCCATACAAACTGATCTGCACAAAACGCAGATTTACAATTAAAATTAGGAACATATACATCAATTAAAATTAAACAATAAATTAAAATTTAACAATACAATATGCCTCGGCAGATGATGTTGATACTGGTAATTCAAGATCTGCAGTCACTGGGGGGGGGGGGAGGCCATATCAGGTGGAAGCCCTCTGCCTCAACTGAAGGACTGGTGGAAGAGCTCCGTCTCACAGGCCCTGCGGGACACTAATAGGTCTTGTAGGGCCCTGGTCTCATAAGGGAGCTCATCCCACCAGGAAGCTGGAAGTTGCCCTTCTCCATCCAATAATTTAACAAAAAGGGGGGAAAGAAAGGGGGAAAGGCAGAAAACAGCAGGAACGGTGAAGAACCCTGTCACGGGCTCTTACAGGCCACCACCTTTTGGACACCACTCTTACGCGGGACACTGCTAGCTTCGGGTAGTAGCGGGGACCACTTACCCACTGGTTTCGTTCTTCGTGATGAAACTCTCTTGGTTCACTCCAAGGCTCTTAAAACTGGCGGAAATTAGTGACCGGACTCCGT